CCGCTCCCTCCCCTCCCCTCCTCCCCCTCTCTCCTCCCCCTCCTCAGCTTCCTCCGCTCCCTCCCCTCCTCCTCCTCTCCTTCCTCCATCCCCTCCTCCCCCTTCCCCTTCCCTTCCTCTCTTTCCTCCTCCCCTTCTTCTCTCTTCCTTCTTTACCCTCCTCCCCTCTCCTGATTCTTCCTCCCTTTCCCTCCTCCTCTCCAGTCTTCCCTTTCTCTTTCTTCCTCCTCTTCCTCTTCCCTCTCCTCTTTTCTCCTCTTTCCTTCTCCCCCTCTGCCTCTTCTTACCTCTTTCTACTCCCCTCCCCCTCCTCCCTTCACCTCTCCCCTCCTCCCTCTTTTCACCTTTCCTTCCCTTCTTCCCCTCCCTTCTCTTTCCTCCTTCCCCTCTTTCTCCTCTCTTCCATTCTCCCCTTTTTCTCTTCCCCTCCTCCCTTTTCTCTCCATCCTCATTTCCTCTTTTCCACCCCCTCTTCCTTCCTCTCTTTTTCTCTTTCCCTCTTCCTCCCTCCTTTTTTCCTTGCCTTCTCTTTTCTTCCCCCTTTCCCCTCCTCTGTCCTGTTCCCTACCCCTCTTCACTTTCCCTCTCCTCTTTCCTCTTTCCCATCCTTTCTCCTTCTTCTCCCCTCCTCTTCCACTCCCCCTTCTCTTCACCTTTTCTTTTCTCCTCTCCAAAGAGGAAAGACTGCCTCCTCTTCTTTTCCTTTCTCTTCTTGCTGTTCCCTCCTCTTCCTTTCCCCCTATTTCCACCTCCCCATCTCTTTCCTCTTCCTTCTCTTTCCTCACAGACCCCATCTTAAGCACTTGTGATCTAATTCAACCTGTACCTGAACAAAAACCTAAAAAATACCCCACCAGTCTTTGCTTTAAGAGCTAAAATCTTCTCCTTCCTGAGGAGGAGGTAGAATGTCATAAATGTCTCCAGACAGACGATAGCATTTAATGGTATATATTCTTGTCCTCAGGCCTCAGAAAGGGTCCCTTCATTCCAACTGTGCTACAACTCCTCCAGCTACTCCTCCCCATCTCCCTCCCCCAAGCCAGGAACCAACTCCCTTCCTTGAAGCAGCTGCTCAAATTGAAAAACAGTGGGTGGTGTATGTGGCACTGCACATTTCAACACATAACCAGAGCTGTGCCAACAGTCTTCACATGGAAGGCTGGGGAAGAATACTATACTGTGACATAGCTATCACCCTCTGGCAGCTGAAGCTCTTAAAAGTCACCCCAGATACACAGACACACCAGCCCCATGGAAGCCACATGGGGGCCTTGGCCCCATTTATTTTCACAGCCAGAAAGGTTCCTTACACAAAGACAAGGTCTAAGAAGACCCCAGGCAGGCAATGTCCTCCAGCGGACATGAGGAGAGGGAAATAGGAGTCCTGGTATAGAAGATAGGCACATATATCTAAGACTCCTTACTATGAGGGCTAGGAGACTGGGGAGAACACCCTTCCCCAGCCCCAACATCTCACCAGAAGCACTGCTTTCTCCATTTTAATGCTCCCCCTTCTACTGCACACACAAGAAATCTACCCCCATCTTTCAGAAGCAACAATTAAGCATCTTCAGTTGTCAAACTGCACCCCCCCCAACTGCTCTTTTCAATCCCTGGACAGTGAAGATGAGGGTATAAATCCTTGAACCCTCTCTCCCAAAGTCAGATCCTTAGGCACCACCCTGCTGATCTCATAGACTGAGTCTTGCAGCCCAGGAATTGGAAGAAGGGCAGTGTCTAAGTCTGCCCAGACCCAGCTGAGTGCCTCCTCCCAGAGCTAAAGGGAGGCTGATCCAGGAGAAAACACCAGATTGAAGGCTTGGCAGAGGTTGAACAAGATTGGGCAGTGATAGTAGGTCAGTAGCAGGGGGCTCACAGTGTGAGCACCTGATGGGGAGATGGATGGGGGTTGTTAGGCTGAGCAAAGCTAGAGGAAGGTAAGGGCCTCAGTAGGTAAAACGCATCTTCTGTGGATACCCCAGCTTATCCAAGTTGGGGTGGCAGGCCAGCTGTACCATGGGAGGTGGCCCACACAGCAGCAGCAACACATCTTCTCCTGGGGCAGGCAGGTGTTCCCGGATCATGTCAGCTGTCACAAAGCCCCTGCCATAGGCCCAATCTGCAGGGGATGGGAAGAGGAGAGACCGAACTGAGACTCCCACTCTCACCCAGGGTATGACTGGGGGTGGTAGATGATAACACAGGCTCTATATTATTAAGTAGTGTTAAGGAATGGAGGAGGTGGCCACAAGCACAGCCACATTAGCAGTACCACCCTTGCCAAGGACTCATGGAGCATGAATAGAAATTAAAAGGGTCTTTGGGGTGGTCTAAACCTACTCAGACATGGCGGTGAGTACTCCATTAAAGACTTTTTCCATTTAAATCAGAAATCAAGGCAGAGAAGGTTAGGACCCAAATGCCAGGGAGGAAGGGAAAAGGGGACGGAGGAGGAAAATACCTAGGTGTGGCAAGGGACAGGAAAGTTGAGTTACCTGCTGGAGGTTGATCCAAGGTGAACCAGAGTTTAAATCGTTCAGGATGTAGGGCCTGCAATTCCTCCAGATCTTCTCGTAGGATTATGTCTTTCTCAGTCTGAAATATCAGGGAAAGAGAAAGTAAACTCCTTTAGAACCACCTAACACCTCTCCCCCTCAAAGAAAACCCAAGCAAAAGCCTCATCTCTAAAGCAATCTCTAGCCCTTATGATGCCCCTTAATGAGTGGGGAAAGCCATTATTAACGGAGTAGCTCCAAATTCCAAATTCCAGGAAATAAGAATTTCATAGAGTTGAACTGAAGGTAAATGGAAAGATCCTAGGATCATAACTGGAAGGAACCCTCTAGTCCAATGCCCTCATTCTCCAGCTGAGGAAACTGAAAGCCAGAGGTGGGATTTGCCCAGGGTCACATAGGAAGCATTAGATTTGGGATTTGAACCTTGTCTTCCATCCTCCCCACTTTCCAGAAACCAGTTTATGCTCTTCTCTCCAATAGCCCAAATCTCAGCCTGTTGCTGGGATGGGTTTTGAAACAGTCCCCAGGCCTAGCCTACAGCACTCTGCATATCATGCCCCACGGTCATCAGCCATTCTTCAGTCCTGGTACATAGCAAATCCAACCAACCTGGTTGGCAAACAGCAGAAAGCACCGGGTTGGATCTTCAGGGTCCTTTAGGATGGCCCGGATGAGCTGCAGCATTGGGGTGATCCCTGAATAAAGACCCCCCCTTGTTGTTGTGTGTCAGGAACAGCTCCTCCTGCCAAAAGCCTGGTTAGCCTTTTTTCTCCTCAATCCTACATATTACCTACTCCATATATTTACTCCATTTCCCACTCCCTAGTTTCCTGATTCTTTCTCTTCTCTGGTTTTCTAGAACTCCTCTATTTCCAGACAGGAATTCCAATTTACTCCCAGAAAATCTGAAGTCTGAATTTAGTGAGTGGTCTGGATAAATCTTGTGACAACACAGAGATTCATATAAATTCAGATGGTAAAATTCATTTAAGGAAACAATCTAAGACTTCCTCAAAAAAAAAAAATTCAGTCTAGGACTAGTGAAGCAGCTGTCAGCAAATATCTAATGATTCAGTGAGAGGCTGCAGAGCAGCCTTCCTGCACAGCCATTCTGATCTGCTTCTTTCCATTCCAATCCCAAAAGGTCCGGATTTGAGATTGTTCGAAACAACCCACCCCCGATTTCAATCCCTCTTTTTTATTTTTCACAGATCCAGGAACTCCAGCAACCCATCATTACCAGTCCAGCTATGAGCATCTAACCCAAGTGTCACTTGCTACCAGCTCCATGCCAACGGCCAGCAGCATTGGGGGCAGACACAAGGGTGACACACACCCGTCCCTCCGGCAATCATTCCCAACTTCTTTGCCACTCGGGGTTCTGCTGGAGATTTCTTGCTGGGGTGAATATCAAATTTCCCTGAGAGAAGTCAAGGGCAGAGAGGACAAATGGGAAGTCATTATAAGGAACTGAAAAAGGAAATGTATGAGAAACCCTAGGGGCCCTTTATCAAGTGGTTATAAACCTTAATTCTGGATCTCAATGCAGTGGCAAATTTATTCATAGACTGGTTGGAGGATTCAAGCTGACCAGGCTACTGATGGTAATATATCCTGGGAATATGAGTAGGGTTGAGCCACCTGTCTCTCATTACTGCCAGATCCCAGTATTCTCAGGGAACAAAGTTGTTCTAGGGCTACACCATGAGTCATGAGCAATCTTAGGCAGTGAGATGCCTCCCTGGTGAGACAGACAGGCATGGGGCCAGGTGTGACTCAACATTCTCTAGTGACACCAGTGGGGCTCAGGAGGCTAGGCTAATGGGCCCAGCTGTTCCACTGGGGAAAGAATAGGGAGGAACTACAATGAAATCTATCTCCAGCTCACTATGAAAATAAGGCTGAGAAAGCTCTTTTGGGGATCAGAGAAGGAAGCTAAATGTTTGCCCTGGTCATATCTATGTCTATTACAACTGATGGATTCAGCACAGTGGCTGTTCCCTGTGGCAGATGAGACTGGATAATATGTCTCATATTATCAGAGATAAGAGTAGGTGGAAAAAGAGCCCTAGTTGTAGGAATATACAAAGAATAAAGGTCATACCAAAAAGGTATGCATAATTCAGGTATATTCATAATGCAGACAATGACTTGAAGGCCTCAGGACCTAAAAAACTGGGAGTAGGATTAGAAAGCAGTAGGGCTGATACCTTTCCCATTATAAGTGAGCAGTCCACTTGGCCCCCGAAACTCTACCACATCTCCAATCTTTAGGCTGTCTAGGTACTGAGACATCTTCCCTCCCTCAGGAAATTTGGGATGTACTCCTTTCAGGTAGATCTGAAGAGCGGAGAGAATAGCATCTAGCCAGTTTCACCAGTTGTAATACCCTATCTCTCCCAATCCCACTTCTGGCCTTTTCCTCACAGATTTAACCCAAGCTTCAGAAACTCCAGATGTTACCAGTGGCTGAGTCGGCTGCGTGACTGAGCTTGAGTTTAGGGTAAGGATTGTACATACACCTTTTCTCCAACCCCCAAAGGCCACCTGTCCTTAATAGACCCAGTGAATTCCCAGGAGAATGTTGGAAGAAGGGAGGAAAGGAAAAATATTTGGGGCCCTATCTCATACCTTGATGACAAGATCCACATAGCCCTTATTCTCATCACTGGTGACAGGCGTGTAGGGCCGGACAACCAAGTTGCCATCAATGCGGGCAGAGAGGTAGACATGCTTTCCTGGTGACCATGTAGGAAGCAGGGTGTGAGGATGAGCCAGGAAGGTCCCCCAGCCCTTCCTGCTTTCTGGCCCAGTAAGTTTTAAAGTAGGTTTTGAATCTGAGCCCACTGATTCTCTCTGTTCCAGGTCAGAATGAATCATGGAGCAAAAGAAGTGTGCTCAATATGCTCATTCTAGATACTTAGGTACTTATGAAGAGAAGAGAACCCTTCTTTCTCCTAGTCAGATCCTCATGATCCCCAGATTCCAGCTGACAAAATTGGAAGAACCCTGATCAATTTGTCCTAGGGCCCCAGTAAGAGCTGAGCGGAAGAGAGATGATCCAGGTTAATGTCCCCTACCCCGGCAAGAGTCAGCAATAATGATATCAAATTCTGGGGGATAGGAGGGGATTGTGACTGGCAAAGGCAGGCAAAAAGTGGAGACCACACCCTAGTAATGGAATATTATAGCATTTGTCAGACTGGAAATCAAATCACGAAGGGAAAGGAACTCTGGGATCCAGGGAAAAGAGGAAGAAATGGAGTAATAGGTGATTGGAAGGGAGGAGGGAGAGAGGGCTCCTGTTCTATTTAGTGATCAAGTAGCAGTGCCTTTCCTAGTCCTCTGCCCACCAGAGACTCTCCTTACCTATAGGAAGTCCCAGGATGTGGTTGGCTGAAGGCAGAGCAAAACGGAATTTCCTGGTGTTGTGGCCGACAGTCTAAAAAGAGTGAAAAGATCATCTCACTACCTGACCATCCCTTGTTCCCTTTTCTAACCTCCTCTCCCACCCCCACCCCCACCACACAGTCCCACATGTAACTTGCCGTCTTGTCCAGCAGCCTCAGCAAGTACTTCTCATTGGGGTCCAGAAGAGTGACAGGTGTCCTTCGATACTTACGAAGCAAGTGGGAGCCCACGGCCACTCCTAGCAGGGTCAGAAGTCCCACTCCCACGGAGGTCAGCACGGCAGTGCTCTGTCGGGGAGAGAAGTCTGAGTGAGAGACTAAGTGGGTCAACCTGGGAGCCTGGGAGCACTGGGACATCCACAAGCTGAGCCTCCAGGTCCTACAGCGCCGGGGTGGTGCCTCACCAGTGGTGTCTGATTCAGCGAAGGGAAGAGCTGCTGGAGGGTAGGGGAAGATCCGAGGGTCTAGCGTGAGGTGTGTCTTGGGGGTCTGACACAAGTGACAGGGCTGTCTCCAAAAACGGGTATTGTACTGGGCAGGGGAACTTGCTCCAAGGAAGGGATCCAGGGGCTAGGCTTGGGTGCAGGTGGGATGCAGAGCAGGGCTGCGGAATACAGAAAGGAGGGGTTCTAGAGTGAGCCCCAGGTCGTGGCGAAGGGGCCTCGGAGTCCTTATCAGGAATTATCAGGGGAAGTCTGCGGTGCAAAGCGGGGTGGGGGTAGGCATGAGGAGGAGCGGGTTCTCACCGGCTGGATCCCCATGGTCAAATGCGGAATCCGCTCCGAAGCCTCCCAGGTCCGATCCCACAATGCGCCGCGGGGCGGGGCGGGGCGGGCTAGGAGAAGACCCGAGATAGGGAAGAAATCAGAAGAGGAAAGGAGGGGAGAAGGGAGGGGGAAGAGCAAGGGGGAGGAGAAAGGAAGGAAGAAAGGAAAGATTAAAGGAAAGGAGGGGAGGAGAGGAAAGGAAGAAAAGAGAGAAGAGGGTAAGGGGAGGAGAGAAGGGAGGCGGAGGAGAAAGGAAGGTAGTGTTGAGGTTAGAGTTGGGAGAGCTGGTTCAGGTGTGAAAGAATTCACTTAGACCTTCTCTGAAGTCATTGGGAGCTTTATTACGCGAGAAAGCGTCACGGGTCTCCTTAGCCAGAAAGCTAAACGAGACCCCGATATCTGAGGGAGTTATGCTTATAGAGAGGGTTCAGGATGATGATGTAGTTTTGGAGGTTTTAATCGGGGTTAAAGATTAAAGACAGGACAAGAAAGGATTTTATGACATAGGATGAAGGAGGCCTAGGACATAGGATGAAGGGCATGAGGACACAGGTTAAGAATTAAAGGACAGAGGAACATAAGATAAGGGACACAAAGCAATTCTTTTGGTACAGATTCAAGATAAGGGGAAAGGACTTTAGGATGCCTTCAAATTACAGAATAAGCAACGGGGTTTCACTAAGTGAAACTTCAATATTCTTTTTAACCCTTAGGGCACTGTTGGTATCCACATCAGATAGGAGAGGAGAAAAGAGTAGAAAAAAGGAAAGGAGGGAAGGAGAAAGAAGAGAAGAGTAATGGAAGATAAGGGAGAGGAGTGGAAGAAGGGAAAGGAAAGAAGAAAGAAGGATTCAATAACTCTTAGGGATGTCCTTGTAACCATCTGTACTTCCCCTAACACCAGAATCCTTAGGCTTTATTACCTGAACCTGTTACTTCTGTGCCTGGTTGGGGGGTGGGTCGGGAAAAGAAGAGGAGGAGAGAGAAAGCAGGGGACCTGCCTTTGGTCCTCTAGTCACTAGAGTAAGAGGATCACAGGCTCACCCTGTTACATTTAGAATCAGGAAGGGACCTCAGGGGACAGCTAGTCCAAGCAGACCTGAAGGAAAATCCTCGTTCCAGCTTAGCCAAGTGCTCATACAGCCTATAAAGACTTTGAGAAAAAGGGGAAACTCACTACCTTTGGAGATAGTTCTTTCTTCTTTTGGATGGTTTTAAGTTTCTCCTTACCTGGGGTCAAAACTTGTCTTCCTGTAACTTACACTCCTTTGTTCCTATTCCTTCCTTCTGGGACCTAGCAGAAGAGGTCTGATCCAAGCAGCTGCATCTGCATCTGCAAGACCAGCCTTGAAATCTGGCTTCAGAGCTTACTAGCTGTATGGTCTTGGGCAAGTCACATATGGGGATAGTATTAACACCTACCGTCAAGGTTTAGATTTGGGAGAGCGGTTCAGGTGTGAAAGAATTCACTTAGACCTTTTCTGTAGCCATTGGTGATGAGTTCAGGGTGGATGCCAAGAATGTTGGGGTGCTACCTAAAATGATGAGGAATAGACATGCAGGTCCTAATGTTCTGAAAGAATTCACTTGGACAGTCTCCAAGTTAAAGAAAGGCATTTATTGGGGTGATACACCCAAGTGGGTCTGCTCCCCATGAGGTAGAGCCCCAATGGGCTTTACTCCACTTGGGAGGCAGAGCATAGGCTCCTCTAAGGGAGCAGAGTGGCCCCTACTTCCCATAGGAGGCAAAAGTGGTTAGCCAGGTTAAAGGTATGGTTTAAATACAATTTTATGGAATGGGGGAAGGGGACAAGAGAATGGGGGGAGCAGGCATGGCTCCAAAATGCCTGGGATATCAGGTAGTCCAGAGGTGATAAGCTAAGAAAACAGCAAAGGGGAGGGGAAGAGTCTTTCTGGAATTGAGGGTGCTTTGTGAAAGCACACAGCTAAGTCCATGGTGGGGGCTTCAATCACAGCCTTTGATCACTTTTCTGGCTGGTCACATCCTTTGTCTTATCTCCTATTTCAGGTAGGTACTTCTTGCTCCATCTGCCTCAGGCACTCTTTTCTACCTCATCACCTACCTCCCAGGGTTGTTGTGTAGGTAAGTGCCTGGCATATAGTAGCTACTTAAATGCTTGTTTTCTTCCTTCCTCTTCCACTTGACAGTGGAAGCATGAAGACAGCTATCACATTCTTTCTGTGCTCTCTTTTCCAGGCTAAACATCCCTAGTTCCATCTGTCAGTCCTAATTCTTGTATTACTTTATTTCAGGTTATAAACTGGGTTAGCACAGAAATTTGCCCTTCACTTAGGCCAGGAACTTTGTTCACTGAGGAAAAAGCAGCAAGACACATTGAAGTTAGATGTTAGAGCAGACTTCTTGATTTTAAAGAGAATGAAACACTGTGAAGTAGCTTCATTATGTCTGTTAGTAGCACCACTATTCACTTAATTTTCCTATATTCAAAAATTTGTTGCTATATCTGAACGAGTATATGGGGTGTTCAAAGAGGACTAGCACTTCTGGTATGAGAGCTTGCCAAGCCCTTTTCAGGGCTGCTCATCCACCTTTGATGTCTACCTGGCACTCAGCTCTCACCTGTGGCTCCAAGGAGCTGTGGCATGCTCAGCGGCCACACCCCAGTAAACTGTTTCAGCAGATGGGCTAAACCAGGTTGAGGGTAACTGATAGGCTTCAAACCTGTCTGTAAGTTAGGGGTATGTCTATCCCAATCTTGTGAAGACTTCCTCCTAGCAGAATGGGCAGATGAGAACAATTTGTTCCAATGGCCTTGAAGGCAGCTGAAGCGGGGCAAATAATTTTTGATTTTGAACTTAAATACCAAAAGGAAAGAACATTTCCATATGCACAACAGATCACAAAAAGAAGATTGCATATACAACTATTAATCTAAATTTCATAGAGCTTGCTTCATGAAAAATTATACAATGAATTCCACATGTTACTTTCAAAACTGCCATATTAGTCTGTGCTTCCTTCTAAACTTTCTTTTGTTCTCTGTGCATTTTAAAAAATGTTCAACGGCCCCTTTTGTCCCCCAGCATTACTATTGCTACCCTCCATGTCCCATATCCCATGAAAATCAGAGAGAGAGAGAGAGAGACAGAGAGAGAGACAGAGAGACAGAGAGACAGAGGGGAAAAAAAACCCCTTGTAACAAATAAGCATAGTCAAGCAAAATGAACCCACACAGTTGTTGTTTAGTCATTTCAGTCATGTTCGACTTTTCCTGATCCCATTTGGGGATTTCTTGGCAAAGATACTGGAGTGGTTTGTCATCCTTCTCCAGCTCATTTTACAGATGAGGAAATTGAGGCAAACAGGGTTAAGTGACTTGCCCAAGATGACACAGCTACTAAGTGTCTGAGGCCAGATTTGAACTCAGGAAGATAAGTCTTCCTGACTGTTGGCCTGGCACTCTATCCACTGTGCCACCTAGCTGCCCAGCAATCCACAGAGGCCATGTACCAAAATATTTCTACACCTTGAGGCATTCACCATTGATTACTTTGGTAAGATTTACTATTTCCTCTTCTACACTATTTTTTAAAAATGACACATCTTAAAATTTAATAATTTATTGTAAATTTGTGAGTTTTTCCTGCATTGAACTTTCGATGATGCAATATTGCATCATATAACCATATAGTATTATACTGTAAACAACTCATTACATGCACATATTCCTGCTGATGCATGCTGGACTTCCTGATAATACACTACCAGCTCACCTGCAAACACTTGCCTGTTAAGACCTCTCCTCCAACTTGACCACTGATGGATTGGTTATAACTTGCAGTTTTTTGTGTTTATTTGGAAAATGTAATTGCTACAACTTTAACTCTGTTACACAACAGATGAAACATGTACGAATGTTTTTCTCAAAATTCTCTTCTTTTCTTATGCTTTCTCTGCCCCCTTATTTTTATTTAATGCCCCCCAATTGCCCCCGAGGCTACTATTACCCCCTCCCCCCTATCGTTCCAGCGCCCCCCAGGGAGTGATATCACCCGCTTTGGGAACCCATGCTTAGAGCAACAATCCCACCTGGAAGTCCTGTGAACATTTTAAATTCAGTATTTCTCTAACAATTTATCTTTTCTGAGAAATGTGTCCTTCTTCCCACTAATTTCCTTGTTTCTGTTACCTATGCTCAAAACTTTCATGTTTTCTTTGATTTTTTTCTCTCTCTCTCACCTCACATAGCCAGTCAATTGAATTCTCATCTTTATGAGGGCAGAGCTGAGGTCTTAGACAGCTAGGTGGCGCAATGCATAAGAGTCCTATCATCTACCCTGGAGTTAGGAAGACCTAAATTCAAACCCTGCTTTGCACATTTACAATCTGGTCAAGTCACTTAACTTCTTTCAGTCTCAGTTTTTTCATCTGTAAAATGGGGATAATACTCTCACCTACCTCCTTGGATTTTTGTGAGGCTCAAATGAGATAACATTTGCAAACCTGAAAGTGCTATATACTAGCTAGTATTAATCTTGCCATGGGAAAGCATAATTAGACTTTATTATTCATGACTCTATGGAGGAGAAGTAAGACTAATGTATAGGTAGACTTTATAGATAGGCAGATTTTAACTTAACATAACAAAGAATTAATAATCATTAGAACCTGTGAAGTCACGGATTCTAAGGAATTCCAAGAGACTGAGTGAATATCTGTCAGGGATGCTATAGAAGCACTTTACCTAGATGAATTCCCTTCCAAAGTGAATGAAAAGTCTGAGACATAGTTTCTGAGTAATTAATAATCAATTTATTAATTATGGCTAGCAAATAATCAAGAAATTTAGGTCAGGAGTTCTCTTAGAAACCAAAGACAAACCTTGGGGACCATCAAATGGTTAAATGCCTTTGGAAAAAGGCTGATGTCCCTGATGGGTGGAAATCAACACTGATTGGTTAACAATTAATGAGAGAATGAATACTATAATGAGAGGTGGGCTTATACTCTACAGGGCCTGGAGGACATGACTCTGATCATGTCACTCTTGGACAAAGAGACT